AATCATCGTTTTGAATTTTATCTGGAAACCTGTTGGTAACCGGTGTACTGTGTGCAGTAACATGTGGCTATAGGAATTCCCAGTGGCTAACAATCAGGCTGCTGCATTCTGTCCCAACTGCAGTGTTTAGTAGCTTTGGGTAAAGTACAATACAAGAGTTCAGACATGAGATAAGTCACTTGGTTAAAACACCATCATGTTTTGCCTCTTCCTGAATTACCTGAACTATTTTAAAAAAGATGGGGTGGACACCTTGGTACTTCTCTTTAGAGGGCAACAGGTGGGAGGAAGCTGGAACAGGAGAAACAACTAAAATATTCTTCTCCAATACTGCAGTCCTGATCAAATTTGCTTCCCCACTTGACTGATCTTAGAAGAAATGAAGAGAGAAGAAAGTTATAATGAAGCAACTTCAACGTCCAATTTAATTTGATCTTACAAGACATCAGACCAGTTTAGAGAGGGTGCTGTCTCTGTTTTTGGTAGCTAAGAACACTGAAAATAAAGCCATGCTTCCTTCCATTACTCCCTCTGAGATCTACAACAAGATACTTGAAATAGGCACATGTAATATGTTACATATGCTCACAGAGGATACACATGCCCTGGCTCATTAATCAAGGTCTGTAAAAGAGGCAGTAAGGAAGATTCAATGAAGATCAGTAGCTCAGCTTTTCTCCCTGTCTTTTTCATATCCACCCTCTTTTTCTTCACGATCCCTAAAGATGCCAAAATACTTTTACATAGAACTATCCTCTCTTGGAATATATTCCTATTTAAAGGGCTTTCTAATTCAAGCTTGGATTAAATTTAGTAAGACACTGATTCTTCCCTCCCTTCACCTTACACACAGCATCACACATTCAAATATAAGAGATAATAGCCTTTCTTTGGGGCTACCCTCATTCAGCTTCTCCCTTTTCCTCTTCCTGACGGTAAATTCTCTTCTTAAGCATTGAACCTCAATACATGCTATAGTTCTTGGTAGAATTGAAACACACTCAAAGAGGTGTGGCTCTACCTGCGTTGAAAGAACTAATGGTATGTCATCTTTTCAAGAAGCTATTGGCTCACCCAACACCCTAGACACTTTTGCCCTGCCAGCCATCTTCAGAGGGCCTTAGATTATTTAGGCAATTTTTAGTCAGTTTCAGACTGGGACACAATATTGAGAAAGCATTGGTCACAGAGCTGTTGACAGCTTTTGGCAGAGACAGAAAAAGGTAGTGAAACCATCTAGTTCTTCTCAATTTCTCAGAAGCTTTTAATACCATCCAACAGTATTCTTCTGGGTTGCCTCTGGGGATTAGAAATGTTATGGTGGTTCTTTCTCTGTAATTGGTTCCAGCAGATGATAGCATTGGGGGGGGGGAGTAGGGTAGAGATTGAATTCAAAGTGTCTGATATGCAGGATGCCATAGGCTCAGTGCTCTTGCCCCCCTTTTCAATGTCTATATGAGACTGTTAGATGAAATTATCTATCAGTTTGGGGCCAGATATCATCATCAATATACAGATCGTACCTGATTGTATATCTCAACCTCAGCCCAATGATATCATGCTGTCAAGGTCTTGACATTGTCCAGGGTCTGGATGGGGAAGAAGAGTTTCAGGCTCAACCCTAGCAATATCAAGTGCCTGAGGCTATTTGGACCACACAGAACCAGAAAGTTTCAGAAGCTGAGCTGAACCCAAGAAACAAGCCTTCTTTGTTGCACTATGTGGTCTTTGAAATAGCATTCTCCCCATCCTCGAGATCAATATAATCCCTACTCTGACCTCATTTAAACCTAGCTTTTCCCCAGGCCTGGGGCTGGAGTGGATAGTAGAGATGTTTTATGCTAAAGGGTGTGCTTGTTTTGCTCTTCCTGGATGTTCATTGGTCTTTTCTATTTTTTATTCTTCCAAGCTGTCTTAATAGGAGATGCAGCCCTGAGACATTATGGAGTTAGGCAGCCATGCAAATTCGATAAACAAACAAATAAATAAGTGATGGGCTTTAAACAATAGAATCCCTTGGCTTTCATAAACAGGATGCAGATGTCGTCTAAAACAGAATGAACAATTAAAAGAAAATATCCTTCTCACATTTACACAAATTCTTATACATATAAAAAACTACAAAATGCAACTTACAAAGACACCAGAACCTTTATGTACATCTTTTAATTTTTTTCTTTCTCATAATAAAAGTTCAATGCTTGTTCTTTCCCTTGGCTGGCATGACAGAAACCATTGAGATTTTATGTCACTGAAGCGAACTTGTGAGTGAATCCTACCAAAGTGAAAATTCCAAATCAGGATGGAGGTAAGGACAGTTTGAACCTTAATTCAATTCTTACATCACATAAAATTTAAAATGCTCAAGTTATGCTCCAATCTATAATTTCCAGAAGCTTCAGCTTGACTCTGCCCCAGTTCCGCATTCCTGTATCTATTCACAATTCTTCCTCGTCAATAAGGAAGTGGATATATTGGGAAAGGGTGGCTCTGAAAACAAAGAGCAAAGCTAGCTCTTCTTGTTCTTCTTTATGGGAATGCCATGCTGGGTCCTGGCCTGTTTTTTCCCTCCGGTCAGCCTGAGTAAGGTGCCACTTGTATTTTTTAAAAAACAATGGCACCTCACAAGGGAAGACCAGCCTGATTTAGCTGCTTGGAGCAGACAGACAGTTTCTACCTGAGCACCCAGCGTGACACCTTGCAGAAAAAAGCACAAGAAGAGCCATTTTGGAAAAGGAAGGGAACTTAATCCTGGCTGCTTTGCCTTGGTCAGCATGCAGGAGTAAGTTCCTCTCTACTGTAAGCAAAAAGATTCTGGAAGATAGCTCTGGAACCTGGATCTTGGGCATGGTCCTGTCCAGTGCCAACCAGTCAGTGAAGACTGCCAATGTTCAGGCAGAGAAGAACTCATTCCATTTTTCTTGTGATGATGCCCCAAACTCTTTGAGGACTGACATAAGTGATTTCCATTTCTTTAGCCTGGCTTACCAACAGTCTGGTTTACTAGCTTTAAATCTCTTGGTATAATAAATGTTCCTGAGATGCACGATTCCACAGAAGCCTCCTTGGCACTGACAGCTGCTATTAAGATTTGTCATCTTTCCCAAACTCCCTTCTCCTTTCTTTCTGCTGACAAAACTGTAAGAAAAGAAGCTGTTAATTCAGGCCTCCAGTTCAGTTTTCTGCCATGTAATGGCCAACCAGATGCATTCAAAAAGCTAACACAGACAAGGGTTCAATAGCCCTCTTCTGCTGTGTGTGTGTGTGTGTGGTCAGCTTGTATTACGATATGATACTGGAATTGTAAATAATTATTATTGACCAATCGCCTAATCCTGCACACATTTGTCCAATGCTTTTTAAAGCAATTTAAATTAATAGATATATATGATTGCAGCATATCCTATCGTTCAGCTATATGCTCTTAACAAGATCAAAATCTCTAACTTTAGTTCTTCTCTCTCTTCTGTTAGTAGTTTTATTTTCTAGTTTCACTTCTTGAAATGACCCATTCACAGAAGATAAGGAAAAACTGGAGAAGGAAAGACAACCAACTGCAAGGGGAACGGACTAAGGCAGATACTTCTATCGTGTCCATTCAAGTTCTTTTAAATATCATCATACAACCCTAATTTTTGTTAACATCACCCCAATACTCCTTCACTATGAAGAGAAGAGGACCAAACATGTTTTCTCAAGTCCAAGCTGCATATTTAACCTACAGTTGCTCTTAAGCAAGCAGGACAATTCATGCCCTGCAATTACACACAACGTTCCCCAGGGAATTTGGCACATTACTCACAAAAATTCCTCCTTTGCAACCAAACACTGATGGATGAAGCTTGTAAAGAATACAGTTATCACAACTGATTCAGCTTCATTACTTTTATGCCCTGCCCTCAATTACATCCTCACTTTGGTTCCAGTCTGAATGCAGCCTTGGCTGGAAAGGGATAATCGAAGGTAATTCTTGACCAGTGAAACTCTTCTCACAGCTTGTTGCTAAGGGATCCAAATCTTTCATGAATACATTCCTGACTTAACATACAGAACTTAAATTAAATCAGATCTCATCAGAGCTGACGAACAGAATCTGTTCTGAATAAATAATTTGAGATGCATTAGGTAAATATTTTCCAGGATTCAGCGATGAGTTTTATGCTGAAGATAACAATATTTGATCTTTCCATATTAATAAAAGCAGGATTAATCAGACTCTTTAGTCATTATCTGAAAAGCTATCAAGGACAGTCCTGGACTTAGGGACAAATGGTTTTCTGACACTGCACAAAGCACATATGGAAACCCTGATTTAATACTTGAGCAGGATCTGAAAGGAATAAAAAAAAACTAAACTCCACTAAGACTGAGATGTTTGGTGCCAGCAATTATCATGGCTTTATTTTTAACCTGATAGGTACTCTTGACAGGGCAGTACTCCTTTTCAAGAGCTTGATGCATGATCTGGAGTTTTTACAGGCAATCTTGGCTTAGTGACTCTATTGGGATATCCAATTCCATTTCTAAATGAAATGATCACTGAGGAGAAATGACATGACCATAACTGTTCTATCTGTCTGAAAACTTACAAGGCTACTCAGTTTTATACTTTCGGCTTTCATTTGTTTCCAAACCGTTCCCCCACTCTTTGGAATGCTTGAGTGCCTGCATGCTGTCTTATACATATCAAAAGCAGTATAATCATGCTGCAGTCCAGGGCTGGGTGTCACAGGCATGCTACATGAACAGCTTACTTTTTTGAAATCCCTTTTTCTCCAATCTCTCTGGGGGATAGGAGGAAGGGAGAAAAATTTATGTAAGTAATCATTGGTCTGACCCTTTCCCATTACTGGTGTGATTGTACTGCTTTCAATATGTAGCAAAACAAATACCTTATTCTCTGGAAATCCCTCTCTAGTCTCTCTTTGGGGGGGGGCAAGGGGGAAGGCAAAGGAGAGAGTGCCTATATAAATCACTTGCTTTTTTCTCTCCCATTCCAGGCTGCCCCAAAGTACAGAGATTGAAGAAGGGATTTCAAGAGAGTGCTGTAAGTAAGCTGTTTGACTAGTGTCCCATGGCTGCCAGGCTGAGGTTATTAGTGCAATCATATTGCTTTTGATGTGTAGAAATAACAGCTTACTTGCTTGCAATCCATTTTTCTTACATTTCTCTGCTCTGCAAGGGGGAGGGGGAAGAGAAAAAACACAGATCAGGCACAGAACTTTGTGCACTGATTGTAATGGCAATCATGTGATGGAGGGATGCTGCAAAGGTTGTAAAGGAGTAATAAAATTATCTTTTCAGCACCATTGTACCTTCCAATGGTCTCTGAACAATGGTTGATAAGCAAGGACTAGCTGTATGGACTCATGGCTTCTGCTGAAATAGGAGCTGGAAGCCATAGCAAAAAGAGCCTTGCTCAGCTTTGGCTGCTGCATTTGTTACAATCCTACTTTAACCAATGTCTTGGCAATGATGACTCATTGAGTTAGACTGTTGTAATACACTCTATGTGATGCTGCTTTTGGAGAGATCTCAATAGCTATAGCTAATTCACAATGAAGTGGCTAGGCTCCTGACAAGACAAACCTATCAGAATATGATTATATCCATCCTGCATTGGCTGTTGATCAGTTTCCAGATCCAATTCAAAATGCTGATCATCATTTTAAAAATCTTTCATGGTGCTATATCAAGATAATAAGCAACACCTTTCCAAGATAGAACCTACACCATCAAAATAAACCCCTAGAGGGATGTTGAGGGATTCCATTCCCCAAGTTTTTGTTGCTGAAATTTCACACCTCTATGGTGGGGGAGGCAATGAGGAGAGAGGAAGGCTTCAGGAATTAAGATCCTTGGACATGTAACCATGTCCAAGGCTTGTGGCAGCTTGTGGCCTGGAATCAGGTTCTTCCTGCCGAACAGAAAACAGATTGTCTATGAGATTTGCAGAGTTGTAGTTCAAAGGAAAATGTCAGTTTTTAATAGTTTCCAATAAACTGAGCTATAGTCAGAAATAAATCAATTTCACTTCAGGAAGGAGACTATGATTCAGATTAATTCAGATCTAAAGCAGAATGGTATGGGAATATTCTGGAACTTTGTTTTATTTTATTATATGTTGAGAAGGGGCGTTGTCTTACCTGAATGCCTTTTCTCAGCATGATGATGGAGAATCCACGAATGGATTTAAACTGTCTTCCTGCCCAATTAAACTAAATCTGACAAAGTTGCCACGCCTCCTGCTGGGCTTAAGTCCCACCCAGTCATGACGAAGGCGAAGCTACTGACGATAGTCCGACGTGTTGGCTCTCCTACTCCTGGCACAGGATCTGACGGACCTAAAGGGGTGGATTCTCCATCACCGTGCTGAGAAAAGGCGTTCATGTAAGACAACGCCCCTTCTCCAGCATGAGGATGGAGAATCCACGAATGGGACATACCATAGCTGCCTTGTCCCTATGGGAGGGAATCTGTCTGGGTCTGTGTCCCGCTTGATGACACTACTTGCTGGAGCACTCTCAGGCCGAATGAGGCTTCTGCAGAGGCAAATCTATCCAGTTTGTAATGCCTCACAAATGGGGAAGGCGAGGACCAGGTCGCCGCCCTACAAATATCCCCAATGGATGCCTGTGTTGCCCACACCGCGGATGTTGCAGTGCTGCGTGTGCAGTGAGTGGTGATATGGCTGGGAACTCGCTGGGAATGTGATTGGTATGTTCTTGCAATGCAAGCTTTGATCCACCTGCCTATAGTCAATGACGACACCTTCTGCCCCATGTAAGAGGATTGAAAGGAGATAAAGAGTGCTTCCAACTTGCAGAAGACTGAGGTCCGTTTCATATAATGGCACAACGCCCTGCGAACGTCCAAGGTGTGCCATTGATGTTCTAAAGCATGATATGGTCAAGGACAAAAATCTGGAAGGATCACCTCCTGTGACCTGTGGAACAAAGTATTCACTTTGGGTATAAATGAAGAATCCAATCGAAGGACCAACCTGTCATTGTGAAAAACAGATAGAATAGCCAGTTCCGAGACGCGTCTAGCCGACGTAATGGTTATGAGGAAGGCTACCTTCATGGTTAAGAACCACAGCGAATAGGTCTTGATGGGCTCAAACAGCGGCGAGGTTAAGGCCTGCAAGACCCACGGCAGTTCCCAAGAGGGATAATGATGGACCATGGGTGGCTGGGTGTTATTCACACTCTTGATAAAGGAACGCATCATGGGGTGCTGGGCCAATGGTGTTGAATTGTCACATGTAAATATCGTGGATAGAGCCGCCACCTGTCTGCGGATGGTTATGGTTGCCAAGCCCTTGTTGAGCCCCTCTAATAAAAATTCAAGGATTCTCCGAATGGTGATGATCGAGAGATAGAGGCAGTTCTTAGTGCACCAGTGACAAAAGTTCCTCCACGAGGAGTCATAGATCCTGTTAGTTGAGGGGCGTCTGGAGGCCTGAATCATGGAGATTACACCCATCGAATAGGACTCTCAGGTCAGGAGCTGCCGTTCAAATGCCAGGCAGCTAACTGGAGCCACTGAGGGTCTGGGGGTTGCAGGGCTCCCTGGCTGAGTGCAACACGATCTGGAGGAATCCTCCACTGGGGGGAGATGGAAAAGCTCATGATGTCGGAAAACCACGGCTGTCTTGTGGAACAACCACTATCACCTCTGCCCATTCCTGCAGTATCTTCCGGATGACCACCGGAATCAGAAGTAGAGAAGGAAAGGCATAGAGCAGGCCTTCGAGCCATGGACTGCAGAGGGCCTTCTCTGCCCCTGGGGATGAGAACCGGGAGAAAAACCTCGCAAGCTGGGAATTCACCGGGGAGGTGAACAGGTCCAGCACCAGAAATCTGAAACTCTCCGAGATCTCCCTGAATAGATCGGAATGCAGGTGCCACTTGAAGTGATCCACTGTCGACCTGCTTAAAGAGTCTGCCTGCTTGTTTGCCTCTCCTGAGATGTGCTCTGTCCTGAGGGAAAAGAGGTTGATCTCTGCCCAAGTACTCAGCAGCTGAGCCTCGGTCCTAAGGGAATTGGACCGAGTACTCCCCTGCCGGTTCACATGGGCTTTTGCTGCCACATTGTCCGTGAGCACTAAGACATGTTGTCCTGCCATGCTATTGCTGAAATGGCGCAGTGCTAGATGTATGGCTCTGAGTTCCAGCCAGTTTATATTATGTTTGAGGTCTGACTGGGGACACTGGCTCTGAGCTAACTATGAGTGTAGGTGCGCCCCTCAGCTGAACAGACTAGCGTCTGTAGTCAGGGTAAGTCTGGCTGGTTCCTTGAATAAAGAGCCTTTGGCTACCGCTGAGGAGGTCCACCACTGAAGGGACTTTAGGGTGTGAGACGGGACCCTTACTTTCTGGTTGGAGGCGCTGGTGCCCAGGCTCTGAAACGGGAGCAAAAACCATTGCAGGCTTCTGGAGTGTAGCCTGGCCCATGGCACTATCCCCATACAAGAAACCATTTTTCCTAAGAGTTGGGAAAGTATGGCCAGTGTGACCACACACTCCCTTCATACCTGCCTGATCATGGTCCGAATGCTGTCCTGGAGTTCCGGTGACAGATAGACCTTGGAGAGACTGGTGTCTATGATCGCACCTAGTGAAAGAGGTGGGTTGAGGGCACTATATGGCTCTTTTGGAAATTCACTGAGAAACCGTGGTCTTGAAGGGTCCTGATGCACAAGGCAAGGTCTGACCGAGCCCTCTGCAAGGAGGTGGACTGGATGAGGATGTTGTCCAGGTAACATTGGATCCGTACAGGGACTTGTCTCAGGTGAGCGGCTAGTGCTGCCAAGATTTTGGTAAATATTCTTGGAGCGGATGATAGACTGAATGGTAGGGCCTTGTACTGATAATGATGGTTCACGTAACAGAACCTGAGGAACTTCCGATGGTCAGGGAGGATGGGGACGTGAAAATATGCTTCCATGAGGTCGATGGATGTCAGGAAATCATGCCTTCTGATGCTGGCCAGAATGGACTGAAGCGTCTGCATCCTGAATTTTCTGTAGACAAGATGAGAGTTTAGTCCCTTCAGATCGAGTATTGCTCTCCATCCTCCCAAAGCTTTTGAAACAACGAAGAAGATGGAATAGAAGCCCCGATGTATTTGTCCAGCTGGTACTGGTTCTATGGCTCTGATTTCCAAGAGGTGATGAATGGCCTTGCTCATGAGCCGTATCTTGACCGGATTTCTGGGAGCTGGGCAAGAAACGAATCGTTCTGGGGGATGGGACGAAAACTCGAGTGGAAGGCCGCACCTGATGGTGTTGAGTACCCAGGCGTCTGTGGTGGTGGCTTCTCATTCGTGAATGAAGAACGTGAGTTTGCCGCCTATGGGGAGGGCTGTCCTGAAGTCACTTGTTTCTTCTGAAAGGACAGCCTCCTGTGCCCCAAAAGGGCCACTTGGACTGGAAATGCTATCGAGGCTTGGGAGCGGGACGCTCCGATTGGCGGTCAGGTCTAGGGAGAAAGGGGCACTCTGATCCTGATCGAAAGGGAGGCCTACGGGAGTATGGGTTGGACCATTGTCTGCCCTTCTGTTAAGGTGGGCCAACACCTTACACTTATCCCTGTTTTCCACCAGGTAAGGGTTGAGCGCCTCTCCAAGTAGTCGCCCGCCACGATAGAGGGCAGTTGCCAGGCACCACTTTGATTTTAGGTCTGCTCGCCATTGCTTGAGCCATAGGAGTCTGCGGGCTGTGACTTTTGAGGCTATGGCTCGGGATGAAAATCTGGTGGTGTGTAGTGATGCATCCGCCATGTATTCAGATGTGACCACTAACTTACGCAGATTCTGGTGAGCATGAACCTGATCCGGGGGAATCATGGCCTGGACCTCCTGCAGCCATATAATGGAAGTCCTGGCAAAGAAGGAGGTGGATATGGATGTCTTCACCGACCACGCCGAGGCTTGGTGAGACCTGCATAAGGAAAACTCAGATTTTGTGTCCTCCACCCATAAGGCCTCAGCCTGACACGGTGGAAGAAGAAAAAATTGGTGTTAGCGACTCATCCACGGTCA